GCAAAGAAAGATTTCCGGAGTTTATCCGAGGTTAAGCAAAATAATTGTTTGATTAGTAGGTTGAAAAATCGTTCTGTTGGGTTCAAGAAGGAAGAAGATGCGAATTTCTCAGGAACTGTTAACTTTTGGGGTAGTTGTTTCAATTTTTAAAACAATAGGGACAAACTAGGGCCCTATTTTAAAAGGATTAACAGGTTTTGTAACATTATGTATTGAATTTTATTCAGGATTAGCTTATCTCCGGTAACAACGATTGTACAATAACATAAAATAAGTAGTCTTCAAAATATGCATCTTTTAATGGTTAAACCCTTTTCCATTTCATTTCAAACAAACATACTCATAAAACTGAATTTCAAAAGCTGAAAATGAGTTTGAAAGACACTGTCCTTTATATTTCCATTTCCCGCCGAGCATGATACAAACTTGAATGGGTGGGGCCCAGCCGAGACAAGTGCCCTGGGGACAGATTACACGGCCCTCCGTCGTGGCGTGACGATTTTCGATCCGGCAGGTCACTTTGGGGGGGAATATTGATGGACACGGGTAGCCTCTGGGATGAGATAGTATTTTCCATTTGTCATACAGCGCTAAGATGAGTATTAATGGAATGGTCACTCCGCTTTTGAATGCACTTCAGACGGATCAGACATAACAGAGCGGAACGAATTCTAACTCAAGGAAGAGCTCGGCTGTTTATCAAGATGCATATCTTTCTGGTGATTCAATCGTGCAATTTAATTTCGCGAATAAATCTTCCGATTTAGAAATGTTTAGAATAATGTCACGGAGATCCTTTTTGAAATATGTAAATGATATTTAATTATTTAGAGGTGAGAATGAATTGATAAATTCCAAAATTGTACTGAATATTTTAGCATTAAAGCTTTACCATTTAATTCCTAAAATTTCAGTAAATTTATTTAAGTAAATTACTTGTTTACTTGTAAAATTTTTATATTATAATATTTCTTAATAGTGCAAAACAATCTGTCGGATTTTTTTATAACTCTAATATCATTTATAAATTAGGTTCTCAGAAAGACTACTTATTAAATACATAGTTTATAATTTTTTCCAATTATAAATTCCATTTTTTTTTTAAATTTTCCAATTATTATCCAATTATATATTCATCATACATACTGTTTCCATATTAAGTTTCAAAAATTTAAAGGAAATTCATTGAATTAACGTGTATAATAATTAACCCTTAAAAATTTTTAATTAAAGGTGATGTGTTTCTTGGTTCAATATTTTTTTAATTATTGAATCGAATATGAAATGTACGTAATAATAATCAATAATAACAATCAATCAGGTAATAATCAAATTATAGTTATAATTGATAATTTTTAATAAACTATTCCTTTTAAAATTTTTGAAATTATAAATATAACTTTACAAAAATTATCTGAACTATTTACTTTATTTTCGTATTTTATCAAATATCATTTATCCAATTATTTTTTCAATTTTGAATAACAATTTAATATATAATGCAGCACAATTTCATCTATCATAAAAACAACATTTAAGTCAAAATGATTATATTTCAAATTCACGTATAAAAAATTATATCTTTTAACAAATAAAACACTTCCAAAGTAATATTATATATATATATATATATATATATATAAACACGCATACACACACATACATGTATAAGCACGCATACACACACATGCACATGTATGTTGTTGTTGTTGTTTCTTATCCCACTTGGCTGGCCAAGCCCACGAGCCCATACGTACTCATGATTGAAGGGGAAGGAAGCAGCTTCTGTTGTGATGGAGCACCCGTAGGTAGAAGTCTGACTTTGGCTCCATGGCGCTCTTACAGTCATAGGAGACCGGGACCTACGGCTTAAAGTGGATTCCGAACCACTACAAACATCCATGGCACCGCCGGGATTCGAACCCGAAACCTGTGGCACCGAGCGCCAGAGCGCTAGACACTCGGCCATTCAGGTCCCAAATTTGCCAACGGCACGCAGTGTTCCCAGGTGGTCACCCACCCGAGTACTGACCGCGCCCAATGATGCTTGACTTCGGTGATCTAACGAGAACCGCTATATTCAGCATGGTATGGCCGTTGGAGGCACATGTATATATGTTAATTTAATTTGCTTACAACAGCATATTTAATCATTAATGTCGTAGTTCTAGATTTTAGTAATAAAGTGTTTATGTTACTATCAGTCCAATCTATTTCTTAAAATGTTTATCATTTATCAGTTAAATGCTTTCTTCGCAAACCATCAGTTTCGCTGATTACACAACTCGAATAATGACAAATCTAATGAATATTCCAAAACAACGCAACAACCAGCGAGCAACAAAAGTCATACAACAAGATTTATATCGCAGAGATGCCTTTGTTGCGTGATAAGCGTTTCTTTCCCACCAACAAATAGAGACATCGATTGAGGAGAGAGTGGCCCGAAAGAGTTTTGCCACCATGCCCAAAAAGAATAGAGGTAGCAGCCCAAAACGCCCAGCAAGAAATCGATGGGCAGCAAAAATGGATTCCTGCTTTCTCAATAAATGATTATGAATCGTCACTGTGACAAAATAAAACAATTAATTAAAAAATTTAAGCTCAGTTCTTTTTTTTCGTCTAACTGGAGCCTGGGAGAATTAGCGATTGCAAATTGCAAAGATTTCAGAAAAAGATACAGAGGAATGCAAAGATTGATTTTCTTGCTTGAAAATTAGCATATAAAAAGAATTAAGATTCAGCACCAACAAAACTGAAAACGTTATCTGAGAACTGTAGTAATTCATCATTTAAAATAAATGGAATCCAAAGTATTTTAGAAAGGAAAATATAGTTTAGCAGTTAGTTTCCAGATATAAAATATGACCTTAAAGTAATCCAGTCAACAATAAAGAATAAAGTATAATTATAACGAAGAAAACTTTTCATTTCGATGGCATTTTTAGATCAAGACAGAAATCTTCAGTGATGGGTATTAATTATCAACATGTTAAAATGTTAAGAATTAATATTCTCTGAAGATATCTGTCTTGATCTAAAATTGCCATCAATATTAATTCTAGAATAGAGCGTTGTAATACTAGTTTATTTATCGCCTTGGCATAATATTCGTTTTAACAACTATGTTACATGAAATTCTTAGGGTATCTTCCATTTAAATATCCATTTTATAAACTTAGTGATAAATTTGTCATAGTAAAATTTTTTCTCAACAATTTAATAGGGGAAAAAAAAGGAAAACTTAAATGTTACCTCATGTAGTAAAAAATTGAGTAAAAAATTAGCTCATTGATATGAAAAGGTATAGAAAATTAATAACACTATTAATTATTAGATAAATTCTTCATCAGCATTGTTTCTTCCTTGAAATCATCAATGATAACTATTAAAGAAGTTAAATTTCATAAAATTATCATGATATCAGGTATTAAATTAATCAATCCTTATTATTCACAGATATATTTACTTTAAATGGCACTTTTCAGAAGTGCCTCAGGAACTTTCAGTAGTTTTCTTTAATATTTGTCCGCAAACAATCATGAATAAGCAACAAACATATACCGCAATTACAAAAATTGATTCAAAATCAAAATGGGCACAAAATTCCCATCAACAGAGATACACATTTGTAATTGTAATTATTTACATATAAAAGAATGCGGCAATTGATTACTAAAAATCAAGGAATTTTCATGAAATTGGAGTAATTTATATAAATGGCTTTGTTTGTCGCTCTACGGACATTTTCTGCATACATTGGGCTAATTAGACCGGGACTAATAGTTTAATGTGGATTCCGAACCCTTAACACAAAAGATTGGAGAACACATAAATCAGAGAGAGGAAGGAATATTCATCAAAGCAATTAAAAATATTGAAAGAACAATTAGAACTAGTATGGTTTGGTTTGGTTTGTCGTTCTATGTCATTTTGTGCACACTTTAGGCTAATTAGACCGGGACTACAGTTTAACGTGGATTCCGAATCACTAACAAACATCCATGGTACCGCCAGGATTCGAACCTGAAGCATGTGGTACCAACAGCCAGAGTGCTAGCCAATTGGCCATCAGGCTGCAATTAGAAGAGGTGTAACAACTAATAATTCGACAGTAGAAAATCAGCCGTGAAAAGGAATTTATGAAGTAAATCTGTGTTTCTCCAGTTCTTTTCGAATGCGTGGTACTTTGACCACAGGTCATTCCCCACTAGAATAGCAGATTCAGCATTAACAAGAGTGCAACGCGGGGAGATCACATCACACAACTTGAACATACACAACTTGAGAGACATCCAGATGTCCTCACTATTGTACTGTCCACTTTGAAGTAAACGAAAAAACTTTATAACCTGCATATTTACAGTTGTCCTATTCCGACATCAGTATGAGAGGTTTCAGTCTGGATTCGTTTGTCTGACACCAATCATTTTTCGAAAACCTACCGCGCTATCTTCCAACCATCTACTGCCCGTTTTTTTTGAAGGAGAGAGTCCATTATTTATTCCAACATCCATTAATTCCACTCCTCAATTCACCACCAACTAGCCGTGAAGTAATTCTCTCAGCATTTGGTGAGGCCATTCATGCAAGATGGAAAAATCGTTACCTGTGCAGGGAATTTTAATCACCAATACCTGCCTTTGTAACACTAACGGGTAACAGCAACTATTATGTCAGTAACACAGTGAGAGTGATTTTATCTGCCCGATAATAAAAGTAGTTTAGACAACTTTGAATGACAGCAGCCTATAAACTAGCCGATATCTATTGATTATGTTTGGAATAAGGTAGTTGTGTTAAATATAAACATGTAATTCGATGCTGAAACTCCATATTTTTCTTTAATCAAAAGGATTTTAGGACGGTTATTTTCCGTTAACATCGTGTTAGTAAACGTAATATTACTTTGAATTAAGTTATATTATTTTTATAATTAAGTAAGTTAATTAATTTATTATTAAGTTATATTATTTTTATAATATTATTTTAGAATTAATTCGTTAGATCACCGAAGTCAAGCATCATTGGGCGCGGTCAGTACTTGGGTGGGTGACCACCTGGGAACACCACGTGCCGTTGGCATTCACAAATTTGGGACCTGAATGGCCGAGTGTCTAGCGCTCTGGCGCTCGGTGCCACAGGTTTCGGGTTCGAATCCCGGCGGTGCCATGGATGTTTGTAGTGATTCGGAATCCACTTTAAGCCGTAGGTCCCGGTCTCCTATGACCGTAAGAGCGTCACGGAGCCAAAGTCAGACTTCTACCTACGGGTGCTCCATCACAACAGAAGCTGCTTCCTTCCCCTTCAACCATGAGTACATATGGGCTCGTGGGCTTGGCCAGCCAAGTGGGATAAGAAACAACAAACAGAATTAAGTTAAAATTTAGTAAGTCAAATTATTTTGAATTATTGCATAGTTTACAAACTTTAATTAAACTAACTATGCGAAATTAAGATAATTACAATACACTTAGATATGTAACTTTTTTTTTAATTTTAAATTATCTAATAAATTAAATTTCGTACATAATAATCGATAATTTAATGCTAAGTTAAATACACCTTAATATAAGATAATTTTTCAAAATATTGTAGACATAATAACTTAATTTGAAAAATTCATTTTTGGATTTAAAAACAATTTTTAATAATTTATTATTTTAAAAATGTAATATTTAATTTGTTTCCATTTTTTTATATTCCTAACTGCACACATTCTTTAACAATATACATTGCTGTTATAAACTCTTAAAGTTTGGTATAAATATATATATTTAATGTAATTTTTTTAAATATTAATACTTGTAAAATTATTACACATTAATTCAAATAAATTTTTCAACTGTTATTTTATATTTGGAAAAAGACATCCGCTTAATCTGTTATTGAGAATCTTCAATAAATCAAGTTTTATTTCTTCTTCATTGGCGCAACAGCTACATGATGGGCCAAGGCCGTCTGCCTACTGACAGATTTCGAGACAGGATAAGTTTTGTTTTTTTTTAAGTAGAAGGGTTGTCAACCCTATACCCAGAGTTCTACACTCATATTAGACCGGGACTTACAGTGGATTCCAAACTGCTACAAATATTCATGTCATCGCCGGGACTCGAACCCTGCGGCACCGAGCGCCAGAGCGCTAATTACTCGGTCATCAGGCCATCATGTTTTATTATTAAAACGTAATAAATAACTAAGGTTTACAAAATATTTCTAGGAAAAGTAAAAAAAAAAAAAGATTCTTTAAAATCTACTTAATTTTGAAATATTTTGGATCGCAATTTATTTTTTATTCATATACTAAAAGTTTATGATATTCGTAATATGTAAAAATATATTTAACTTGTTTGTTTGGTTTTCTAAAGTAGAAAAACTTTCTTTTCTCATACCTTCCCTCAAAAAAAAAAAAATTGCCCACAAATAGTATAACAAAAAAATAATTACTCCACTAAAATTTATATGGGTGAGTTACGATGCGAATTTTTTTTAATTACCTATTAAAATTCTTCCACTAGAATTTATGTGGTAATAAATCTCGTAAGGTTTCTATTATTTTATATATATATATTAAATTTCTAATTTTTTTTATATAGAAATGAAAATTTTAAAAATAATCTCAACCACATAATTATTTATAACATAATTTTCTCGTACGTCTTTCAAACTTCTAGAGTCATAACAATTCTAAAAATTACTTTGTATATTCCGTGATTAAAATAAAGTATTCTAAGAAAATGAGCCCATAAAAAGAAGAGTAGGAGGGAGAGTAGAGTTCGTGAGAATAATTACTGAACAAAGAAAAGGAGAAAACGTGATTTAGAATTATTAAACACATATTATTTACTATAATTTCTCCATATTTACTCCATATAAATATACATTATTTACTATTTTTCCATTATTTACTATAATGAGGTTACATATATTTTGAACTTAGTATAGTAAAGAATGGAAAACCAGTAATACAAGCAAAAACACTCTAAATAAAGTAATCAAAAAGGGAAAAACATAACTAATATCGTCAAAAATTATGTTATGTATAATTTTATTACCCAAAAAACTGATTATTTTGTTAAATTCTTTAATTGCACTTGATTAATAAAGTTGCCAGCAAATAAAAAAAATAATATAAATTAAATAAAACCTTTTTTGCACTATTTAATAATTTAAGCTAATAAAGTACATTACACTCTAATAGTTTATTCTAATATCTTTCTTTGAAAAAAAAAATTTCTAATGCAAAGGAAAGATACATTTTAACCCCTAAATAAATTCCGTATTAAAGTAATATTTTTTTTTCTTTTTTTTTTCATGAACTTAATATAAAATACAATATACTCAATGAATTTGATCACGTAATATTTCTAAAAGTTTTTACGTTAACTATTAGTATGAAATACATTGTAACGCATGGAGCATTAAGTCCCAAAACTAATTTCTAAAACAGAAAAATAATTGGCAAAACTTTTCTTTATTCATCATAGTCTTTTACACGTGCAATGCATTTCTTCCAAAAGCTAGAGACCTACTTTAAAACGGTTAACAGGTTTCGTAACATTGTGGACTGCTGATAATTCAGGTTTAGCATATCACCAGTAACAACGATTATACAATACCATAAAATAGATAGCCTTCAAAATATGCATCTTTTAGTAGTTAAAACCTTTTCCATTTCATTTCAAACATACTCACAAAACTGAATTTCAAGAGCTGAAAATGAGTTTGAAAGACACTGTCCTTTATATTTCCATTTCCCGCCGAGCATGATACAAACTTGAACGGGTGGGGCCCACCGAGACAAGTGCCCTGGGGACAGATTACACGGCCCTCCGTCGTGGCGTGACGATTTTCGATCCGGCAGCTCACTTTGGGGGAAGATTGATGGACACGGGTAGCCTCTGGGATGAGATAGTATTTTCCATTTGTCATACAGCGCTAAGATGAGTATTAATGGAATGGTCACTCCGCTTTTGAATGCACTTCAGACGGATCAGACATAACAGAGCGGAACGAATTCTAACTCAAGGAAGAGCTCGGCTGTTTATCAAGATGCATATCCTTCTGGTGATTCAATCGTGCAATTTAATTTCGCGAATAAATCTTCCGATTTAGAAATGTTTAGAATAATGTCACGAAGATCCTTTTTGAAATACGTAAATGATATTTAATTATTTAGAAGTGAGAATGAATTGATAAATTTCAAAATCATACTGAATATTTGAGCATTAAGGTTTTAGCATTTAGTCCCTAAAATTCCAGTACAATTATTTAAGTAAATTACTTGTTTATTTGCAAAATTTTTATATTATAATGTTTCTTAAGGATTTAAATTTTATAATAACTAAAATTTATTAATTATTATTCTCAGAAATACTAGTTTTTAAACGCATAATTGCCAATATCTCCAAATATTCATCTTAATCGTGGCATTCTTTTTTCGTACTATGTTTCAAAAATTTAAAGGAAATTAATTGAATTAAATTTTATAATAATCTAGCTTCTAAAGATTATAACATATTTTAATTATTGAAAAATATATGAGTATATATATATGAATATGAAAAATAAGTCAGTCGGGTAATTAACAAATTATAGTTTTTCAAAAATTAATCGCTTATAACTATATTTTTTTTTAAATGTTTAATTAATTATTAACAATTTATTTTATTTTCGTATTATAGTAAGCAATTTCATTTATCCAAATTTCTTTCAATTTTGAATAACAATTTAATAAATAGTACAGCGCAATTTCATTTATCACAAATGCAGCATTTAAGTCAAAATGATCATTTTCAAATTAACGTATAAAAATATATTCATACACACATATAATACACCATACAAACACACACACACACATAATACACATACATACATACATACATACACACACACAGATAATACACCATATATTTATTTTACTTACAGCATATTTAAGCATTAGTCTCACAGTTCTTGATTCTAGTAATAAATGTTTATGTTATTATCAGTCAAAGCTATTTCTTAAAAGTTTTATCATTAATCAGTTAAATGCTTTCTTCTTCAACCATCAGTTTCGCTGATTACACAACTCGAATAATGACAAATCTAATGAATATTCCAAAACAACGCAACAACCAGCGAGCAACAAAAGTCAGACAACAAGATTTATATCGCAGAGATGCCTTTGTTGCGTGATAAGCGTTTCTTTCCCACCAACAAATAAAGACATCGATTGAGGGGAGAGTGGCCCGAAAGAGTTTTGCCACCATGCCCAAAAAGAATAGAGGTAGCAGCCCAAAACGCCAAGCAAGAAATCGATGGGCAGCAAAAATGGATTCCTGCTTTCTCAATAAAGATTATGAATCGTCACTGTGACAAAATAAAACAATTAAAAAATTTAAGCTCAGTTCTTTTTTTTCTTCTAACTGGAGCCTGGGAGAATTAGCGATTGCAAATTGCAAAGATTGGAGAAAAAGATATAGAGGAATGCAAAGATTGATTTTCTTGCTTGAACATTAGCATATAAAAAGAATTAAGATTCAGCACCAACAAAACTGAAAACGTTATCTGAGAACTGTAGTAATTCATCATTTAAAATAAATGGAATCCAAAGTATTTTTAGAAAAGAAATATATAGTTTAGCAATTAGTTCCCAGATATAAAATATGACCTTAAAGTAATCCAGTCAACAATAAAGAATAAAGTATAATTATAACGAAGAAAACTTTTCATTTCGATGGCATTTTTAGATCAAGACAGAAATCTTCAGTGATGGATATTAATCCTCCACATGTTAAAATGTTAACAATTAATATTCTCTGAAGATATCTGTCTTGATCTAAAATTGCCATCAATATTAATTCTAGAATAGAGCGTTGTAATACTAGTTTAGTTATCGCCTTGGCATAATATTCGTTTTAACAACTATGTTCCATGAAATTCTTAGGGGATCTTCCATTTAAATATCCATTTTATAAACGTAGTGATGAATTTGTCATAGTAAAATGCCTTCTCGATAATATGATAGAAAAAAAATGAAGACTTAAATATTACCTTATCATGTAATTATGATTCTAATAAAACCAAAATTAGAACA